AAGCCCTAATTCTGTAATTCTAAAAAAGATTCTTTTATGTTAGTGAGATAATCTTTTGAGATATTCTGTCTTTTGAGGGCTTTAGACAGAGTTCTAATTCTGTGGGTGCAGTAATTGCAATTCCGTGTTTTCTTTTTACTCAGCTGTGTTTGTAGCTGGGTGCAGTATTGCACTGCTGTAACTCCAGCACACTGGGAAACAGGTGGGACAGTTGGAAATTTGAGTGGGCAGCTACTTTAGTGACATAGTGAGACCCAGTCTCAAGATTTCCAGACCTACCCCAGTGTGGTGACACACCCCCCCCAATCCCAGCACTTGGTAGACTTGGGCAGGAGGGTGACCAAGAGTTTGAAGCCAGCCTAGACTATATGATGAGGCCAGGGCCAGTTCAACTGCATAGCAGGACCCCATCTCAAAAAATAAAAGCCAGGTGTGGTGGATATGCCTGAGGCAGAAGGGTCACTGAGAGTTTGAGGCCAGCCTGGACTACACAGAGCTTACCCCCCCCCCCAAAAAAAAGAACAAAATAAAAGATTTAGAAACCTGGGAGGGGCTGGGGAACAGCTGAGCACAAAGGCCCTGGGTTCAGTCCCCTGTGCTGGGGAAACAACAGCAGCGAAGAACTCTGCATTTGTTGGCAACGGGAGATTGATGCACAGTCTCATGTGCGCACCCACGAGACTTCAGAGGGATTGCACCGACACACTTTCTATCTGCCAGCTTGCTGGTAGTGACCTGGCTCCTCTGTCCCCACCACACAGCCAAGTGCGGTGTGACCGTGACTCCTAGATGCTGTGCTCACTGCTCCCCTGTGTCCCCACCTGGCCAGGAATTGGCAGCAGTGGTGTGCCAGATGCACGTGGCTCAGTGGGTGGGCCTTTGTGCTGGTAGCAATGCTCTTCCTGCTGTTGGTTTCATTTTATTAAAATTTATTTTGTACCAGGAACCAAACACATGACCTCACACTTGTCAGGCAGCTGCTGGACCATTGAGCTCAATCTCCAGCCCCAGCTGTTGGTTTTAGACACCAGTCTTTCTTCCTTCCTTCCTTCCTTCCTTCCTTCCTTCCTTCCTTCCTTCTCATTTTGGCCCTGGGCATTGAACCCGGGGGTTCCTACATGGTAAGTTCGCCCTCTTCCATTGTGTAAATCCCCTGACCCTGCTGGTTTTTCTGGTTCAGTGAAAACCTAGGTATCTTCCTTGAGTCTATGCGTTGATCCCACTCCAGAGGTGAATTTTGCTATTTTGCATCCAAATAAGTATATTCTTTTTTGTTTTGGTTTTTTTTTGTTTTCATAAACAATGTAATATTTTATTCAGAAAATTCAAAGGACTCTATGAAAAATCTATTAGAGCTAATAAGTTTAACAGGGTTGCATGATACAGGATTAATATACAGAAATCGATTATCTTTCCATCTGTTAGTAATAAAAAAGTTGAAACTATAATTTAAAGAGCAATATTATTCATAGGAATCTCAAAATGTAGAACAGTTAGTAATAAATCTGGCAAAAGATGTGCATGACCTTTACACTGGAAATGATAAAACATTACTGAGAGAAACTGAAGAAGACCTAAACAGAAAGACAATGAGTCAGAGAACTTAGTATTATTAAGATGTCAAGACTTTCAAATTTGATCAAAAGATTCGAGTCTTTTTTTTTTCTTTCTTTCTTTCTTTTTTCCATAATTTTATTGATAAACAAAAAGCAATGAGACGGTTTCAAACCAAATTGGTAGGACAGTTTCAATAATTAACACATTGCATACATTCTTCCTAGTGGTTAATTGCTGCACAAGATGCAGACTTGATATCCTATTTACAGATACCATTAGAACAAATCACTCACTGGAAGAAAGATAGCCTCTTTAACAAATGGTGCTGGAAAAACTGGCTTTCTACATGCTGAAAACTCAAACTTGACCCAGGTCTATCACCATGCACTAAACTAAAGTCAAAATGGATTAAAGACATAAACATTAAAGCAGAGACACTAAATCTCCTGGAAGAGAAAATAGGAGGAACTCTTGAAGACATAAGGGTAGGCAAAGAGTTCGTGGACAGAAATCAAATCACACAGAAAACAGGTGAAAGAATTAACAACTGGGACCTGCTCTTACTGAGAAGTTTTTTCACGTCAAAAGAAATTACCAACAAAGTGAAAAGGCAACCCACAAATTGGGAAAAAATCATGACAAATAAGTACTCAGACAAAGGTCTGCTCTCCAGAATTTATAAAGAACTAAAATACACTAAGGCCCCCAAATTTAAAGACCCAATCCAGAAATGGGCATCTGAGATGAACACACACTTCTCAGAGGAAGAAATTAAAGAAGCGAATAAATATATGAAAAAATGTTCCACATCACTAGCCATCTGCGAAATGCAAATTAAAACAACATTGAGATATTATCTTACCCCAGAAAGAATGGCTATCATAACGAAATCACCCAACAACAAATGTTGGAGAGGCTGTGGGGAAAAAGGAACCCTTCTCCACTGCTGGTGGGAATGTAGACTGGTGCAACCGTTATGGAAATCAGTATGGAGACTCCTTAGAAAAGTTGGATTGCAAATGAGTATATTCTTGTAACAACAATTCCACTTCTAGGAATTTTTCTTATTAGATGATGTTATTTTTAGATTTTATTTATTTTTGGTCTTTGAGACAGGGTCTCACTATGTCATTCATGCTGCCTTTGAACTCACTATGCAGCCTAAGCTGACCTCACAACCATGGTGATTTTCCTACCTCGGCCTCCCGAGTGTTGGGATCACAGGCATGTGCCACCATATCCAGCACTTTATTTTTATTTTCCTTTTTTTTTTTAAGACAGAGTCTCACTATATTGCCCAGGCTGGTCTCAAACTTCTGGGCTCAAGGAATCTCCTGCTTCAGCCTCCAAGTACTAGGCCTACAGGCAAGAGTTGAAGCTGTAGTACATCAACCCTTTTTGCCAGTGTTAGCCATATGATAGATTAGAGATTCTGTGAGACTTGGTTGGAGGTGTCCTGAGCCTGCATTCAGCAGCAGGAAGAGGAATGCACTTAATGTTACTCAGATGTATTGAAATAAGCCTGCTTTCTGGAGCATAACAAGAGAAGAGGGGGCTGTTTTGTGTTCCTCTCCTTCCCCGCCACTACTGCCGTCCTCCCAGTGCAATGCCTGGGTGCTGTACAGGGAGAGGGCACAGGCTTAGCATGTAGAAGCCCTGAGGTTTGAGCCCCAGTGCCGAATGGATAAATGAATGAATGCATAAATAAAACCTGCAGCAGGCACCAACCTGCAGGGGTAATATTGAAAGAATTGTGAGCTATACATGGTGGTGCGTGGTGTAATTCCAGCCCTTGAGAGGCCAAGGCAGGAGGTTCACTGTGAGTTCAAGTCCAGCTTGAACTATATAGTAAGATCCTGTCTCACAAATTGAAAAGATAAAAAGATCATGTTAAAAACTTGAAAGTGCTAACTGTGAAGTTAGTTGGCCCAAGGTGGTGAGCTCTGGGCAAGGCTTTCTTAGAAGAACTGTGTATTGGTTCCAGTCCTGGGCCCAGGGCCTGAGTGCAGAGACGGGTGGAGGCTGAGGAGCTCTGAGTGGGTGGCAGAACCTGGGCCCAAGGCTACTGGGTGGAGGCAAGAATGCACTCTGCACATTTAGAAATGAAGTAGAGCAAGGAGCGGAGGTGCAAACCTGTATCCCAGGGCCAGGGAGGTAGCTCAGCGGTCTAAGCACCTGCCTGGGAAGCACAGGGACCCAGGTTCAATCCCTGGTACCACACATGCTGTGCTGGCCCTGTACTGTGCCAGTCACTGAAACTGGGTATCGAGACCCAATACCACATCAATCAATCTTAAAAAACAAACAAGCCTGTGTCCCAGCACTCTGGCAGCCTGAAGCAGGAAGAGCTTAAGTGTGAGACCAGCCTAGGCAACATTAGTGACTTAGCAAGACTCTGTCTCAAAAACAAAACATGCCAAAAGGATCGGGGGTGTATTTTTGTGCAGTCTGTGTATTCAGCCCTTGTACTAGAGAGTTTGGGCTCCGTACTCTGGCAGGTTTCATCAACTGATTCTAAAATAGTGAGCAGGGTTACTGTCCCTGAAGGTGTCTACTAGTACAGAGCATACTTGCATGGTTTTGCACTGTCCTCTGAGCCAGTTGGTGGCTTGTGTGGTATCTGGTGAGTGTTAGAAAACTCGCTCAGCAGCTGGGTCTCTGGCAGCTCCGTGCGCTCCTCAGCTGAAGGCTGCCGCCGCCATGGAATCTAGGACATACTCAGCCCAGCTACGTAGTGACTTGCTAATTGCTTGTTGTATTCATCCCATCCTTCTCCCTGCACATCAAAGGACAAGAGGAATTTCCTTCGTGACCCTCCAGCTGGCGTGCAGTTTCACTTTGACTTTGATCAGATGTACCCTGTTGCCTTGGTCATGCTGCGAGAGGATGAGCTGCTGAGCAAGATGCGCTTCACCCTGGTTCCCAAGCTGTAAGTGCATGCATGTGTGCTGGTGGCATCCCAGTCCCAAGGCCTTGCCTATAGGCCCTGTGTTAGAGAAGGTACATCGAAGTGGCCAGGGCCAACGGGGCAGAGAACTGGGGCTGGGAGGAGCAGTAAGATTGCAAAACGTTTTTAGGAGAAAAGGTGCTTGCCTTTGGAGGCTAAGGCAGGAGGACCACAAGTTGAGTTCAGACTGGGCAATTGAGATCCTGTCTCAAAAGAAAAAGCTGAGGATGTAGCTCAGTGAGAGGGCCCTGGTTTTAATCCCAGTGCTACAAAAAGGAGGGAAATGTACCATCTGTGGTTTTACTGCATTCACACAACCCTAGGAACTGACCTCCGACAGTTGTATGTAGGTGTGCGTGTGTCTCTGTGTCTGCCACTCTGTCGCAGCCTTTGGAGTTGGTGCCTGTTTTGTGGACAGGCCCCAGAGAAAAGCACTGAGTCTCTGGCCTGGTGGGCTTTCTCCCTGTGGCTCCATCAACTCCACGGCCACTATTGTCACTGGGCCACCCACTGTGCTCTGCGCTGTGACTGCGTCAGGGCCATCATCAGGAGCCTGGGTTGCCATGGCCTGTGGCCCAGTGTGCTCCTGCCAAGAATGTGGCTCCCAGTTTCAGTTCCTCACTGTTCTTGACCTTCTCTCTCTGCTGAGGGTAATTTTCGATTTCTGAAAATTTTGAGTAATTGGTATTTGGTAATTAGTACTTCTGGTTTGTCACAGGCTAAGTATTTTAACATAGTTCCAGTTTCTGCCTGCTAATTTTCTTAGGACAAATTTAGAAATTATGGTTATCACACTCACTTTAAGAAATGCTTACTGAAATATTACGGATGACACTGTGCATGGTGGCACCACACCTGTCATCCCAGCACTCAGAGGCTGAAGCGGGAGGTTTGCCATGAGTTTTTTCTTTTTTTGGTCACAAAAAGACAAAAAAAATGAGTTGATGACACAAGAATATAGGACTATGTGCCCTATACAGATGTGCGCCTTTGATCGTGGGAGCCGCTCTATACGTAGACAGCAGCATTTTCTGGGAACTACAGACAAGAAAGTACTTCCTCTGAATCTCCCCGGGCACAGCACACAGCCCTTCTGGCCTGGCATGGGCACCTCTGAGGCCAAGGGCTGAGGACAGCAGGATATCGGGCGTCCTGTCCCCTCCCACCATGCCAGTTACCCAGGGACGCTCCAGGTACCAAAGCCTTCAACTAGGCCTGTGAGTGGAAGTCATCTCTCCCCCAGGGCTTCTCAGCCCAAAGTGTCATTGGTACTGTGACTCTTTCCCAGAGGACAGACTGAGAGAGTTCTCAGTGTGCCTCTGTGGCCACTTCCTCTCACATCTAGAAAGCCCGCCTAGAAAGGAAAGTAGCTTGAATGATTGTTTCTTTGAATGGTGGGAGCAGGTAATGCCTCCTGAGTCGCCGTGGCCATGCAGTACACCCAAGGCTCCTGTTGAATGTCTCAGGACAGGTTCTGAGAGCTCAAGATGCACAGTGGCCCTGAAGATACTTAGGCAGCTGGCTGCATCCTGAGAAGGATGAAGATACTTCACCTTTTTGGAGAAAGGTTAAAGTACAGGGGTTGATCCCAGGTAGCATCTCCCACAGGCCTGGGGCTATAGCTAGGTGCCTGCGTAGAGCTCGAGACCCTGGGTGCCCTCTGAGAACTGCAAAAACTGAAATGTGCCCAACTATCTCTTCCTCCTGGCCAGCTCCATGCTGCTGCAGATTTGCACCCTGCATGAAATTCCTACAACGCACACCCCTCAATGTTTCTTCCACTGCTTAGGTGCATTTAGCCCTCCTAGAAACACCAAAGGTCCTAGGGGGCCCTGGCCCTGCTTCTGGGCCCCCTCATTGGGAACCCTCCCTCACAACAGTGTTGTTTTCCTTCTGCCAAGGGCAGTGCTGGTGTCACTAACCTACCATGACTAGGGGCCGGGGATCTAGCTCGGCGGTGCAGCACCTGCGTGGCAAATGCAAAGCCCTGGCTTTAATTACCAGTGCTGAAAAGGGGCGGGGGGGGTAAAAAGAGACTAAAGTACCATGACAGGCCAAGGTATCGCCGGCAGGCAGTCTGTGACTTATCTGTTGCTGCTGTGAAAGCAACCAGCTGTTCTGTTTCCCCTGTAGCTCCACTTTCACTGGTAAAGCAAAGGAGACGTCATTGGCATTTGAAGGTTTTGGACTCCTAAAGCAGGCATAGGAGCACACCCCTGCAATCCCAGCACCTAGAAGGTTCAATCACCATAGTTCGACACCAGCAGGGCTACATAGTGAGCCAGTGTCTCAGAAAAAACAACCACCCAAAATCAAAGGCAGAGCTCCTAAAGACTGTCTGTTCCATGGGGCTGGTGAGATGGCTCAGTGGTCTAAAGCACCTACTTAGAACAAGCTTGGCAAAGCACAAGGACCGCGGTTCAATCCCCCAGCACCACATGCCAGCCAGTGCCGCCTCCTGCTGGGCTGAGCTGGCCACACACACACACACACACACACACACACACAAATAAATAAAAATTAAATAAAAAAATCAAATGTTTAAAAAAAAAAAAAAAGACTGTTTGTTCCCGGGGCTGAGTTAGAGGTCCACAGGAGGGCATCTGTCTGGCCTGGCAAGGCCTGGGTCCCATGCACTGTCCCACACTGCACTTTCTCATGCGGCACGATCTTGTGTGTCTTTCGCAGTGTGAAGGAGGAGGTGTTCTGGAGGAACTACTTCTACCGCGTGTCCCTCATCAAGCAGTCAGCGCAGCTCACGGCCCTGGCCGCTCAGCAGCAGGCCTCCGGCAAGGAGGATAAGAGCGGCAGTGTGGGTGCTGACTCGCCGCTGACAGGTACCTTCCCCGCCTCGAGCTGGAGCTCAGTGCTACGCGTGTGCACACACCTTGTGCTCCTTTCCTTCCCCTTGAGGTCTCTGTGCTGCTTGGTCTTGTTATGTTCTTTTTCTCCTACATCTTTCTACAATTTTCGTTTTTATTGAGACGTGTTTACAGCACATGTACTTAACACATCTTAATACTTTTTATTTCCTTCCCCTTCCCTCTGTCTCTTGGGCCTCTTCCTATTTGCAAAAGCTCTATCTCCCTGTTTCCTGTTGGCTGTCTTCTATTTTGATCTTTATTTATACGGTATTTCGGCGTTCTCATAGAAAAGAATCCATGTGATATTTAAGCTCGTGTGTGTCTCATTCACTTTGGTTAACATTGTGCTCTCAACGTGCATCCATTTTTCTGCAAATGACCAAATTTAGCCTTCTAGGGGCCAGGGAGATGGCTCAGTGGAATAAGTACTTCCCTGGCAAGTGCCAGGGCCTGAGTTCAATCCCTGGTACTGCCAAAAAAAAAAAAAAAGAAGGAAAGAAAATACATCACCAAATTCAGCCTTCTATATGGCAGAGTAGTACTCTACTACTGTATGTGAACCCCAGTTTTCCTGCCCTTTCCTGAATGATGTTGCCTACCTTCCATCCTCCACTCTGATGCCACTGCCTCCTCTGTTTCTCACCCTGTCATTCCACCTGGCTTCTTGGACACATGTGGTCTGCAGGGCAAGGTAACCTCTATCCAGCTCTGAGCTGGGCACATGCTCTTAAAGAGGTCTTTCTGACTGTGACACATTGGCCCTGGAAGTAGGGCAAGTGTTTTAGCATATCAGCAATTGCTTGTTCTCTACAGTGCTGAATAATATGAGGAATGTGTTTTGTGTCACTTTCATCTTAATGAGGCCTGCTTCTTGCTGTGGGTACTGATTACCAGTGGGCACTCATCCCGAACGAAGCAGGGTGGGTTAGCACATGGAATCCCAGGCACTTCAGCAAGAGTGTGTGTGTCCCAAAGCACTGGCTGTACAAACCCTGGGAAAAGACCTTGAAGCTGCATGTGGATCAGGGAAGCACAGTGAAATTGCTCTGCACCATAGAATTTGTCATTTGCTGTAAATGTGATATACACTCCATAGATTAGCATTCTTCAGCATTCTTTAGATGTTATTGAAATATCCCATTTTACCAAATGCTGCCTGTTAAAACAAAATGGATGTAAGGTGGTTTTTATAAAGACTGTCTAGTAAGGTAAATAAGACCAAAAAAATGTAGCCGGCTGTTACGATGCACGCCTGTGTTCCCGGCACTCTGGAGGGCTGAGGCAGGAGGGTTGTATGTTCCAAAGCATCCCGGACAACTGAGCAAGGCCTTTTCTCGAACTAAACAAGTAATGAGCTGGGGCTGTAGCTCAGTGTAAAGGCCCTGGGTTCCATTCCCAGTACCAGAAAGAAAAAAGGAAAGTAGACAAGGCTGCTAAGCAAGGAGATGATTGGGATTGAACATTGCATGTTTCTTTGTGCCCTCCAATGGAGAAACTTCATAAATCGCACCATTCTTATCATCCCAAAGAAAACAGCAGGATGCATTTAGCTAACCCTCAAGGACAAAATTATTTCCTGCTAGAAATTTTTTAGAAGAACATTAGATATGGTAACATCTTTAGAAGTCCTCAAAACAGAGGTTCAGATAGGTGTATGTGGCTAGGTCTTGTAGAAATTTGAGAAAACCTGAAAGCAAACCAGAAAAACTCATTTCTAAAAAGTATTTTGGGGAAAAAATATTTGGTGGTATCATACTTGTAGATGTGTGTTAGCTGTTACCGTAATATGTATTCGGAACTGAAGCAAGCAATTATTGTCTCTCTTATTCTCACTTCTTAGAGGCAGTACGGCCCAAAACGCCACCTGTTGTAATCAAATCTCAGCTTAAAACTCAAGAGGTAATACAGTTTTCCATTGTACCTAGTCAGTGGTCTGGAGGTGAATAACGGGCTGTCAGAGTCTGAGTCACTTTCTTGTTGCTAGCACAGAATCCCTGACATCCACAGCTTAAAGGAGGAGAGGTTTACGTGGACTCACGTTTTGTTTTTTAAGAAGTTTTAGTCTGGTCTGCCTGCTGCTAGCCGACTCCTGGTGGAAAGGTGTAGCAGGAAGCAGGGAGGAGGGAGGAGCCAGAGAGGGAAGGAGGGGGACCCTTCTGGCTAGGCTGTCAACTCATCCCAGGAAAAAAAAAAAAAACACTGATGAGATAGCGCCCCCTTGAGCCAGTGACCTTGCAAAAGCCCTAGCTCAGAACACAAGGATACTTTGGGAACAGGCCAGATCCAAACCATGACAGTGGGCTAAAAGTCTCTGCTACCAGGCCAGAGATTTAGCTCAGTCGCACAGAGCCTGCCTGGCAAGCATAAATTCCCAAGTTTGATTCTCAGTTTTCAAAAAAAAAAAATCTCTACCATTGAAAGCCACTGAAGAGCTCGGGTATTCTGGAGCCAGAGGCCTGCAGCTGGGACCTCAGGCTGTTTCCTGCATGCATAGTCCCAGATGTGCGCCTCAGGGGTGGGGGAGAGTGGTAGGATTGGGCCAGGCTGTGAGGGAGGAGATGCAGCTGGGTGGTAATCACTGGGTTACCAGTCAGCAGTGCAGGTTAGCAGGTAGAGTGCTCACTGACTCACAGCTTGCAGAGCACAGAAAAAAATGAGATGTACGAGAGTGTGAGACAGCCTTCGAGCAAAGAAATGTCACATGGAGAACCATCTCAGGAACTCATGCTGCCTTTCAGGATGAGGAAGAAATTTCCACAAGCCCAGGCGTTTCTGAATTCGTCAGCGATGCATTCGATGCCTGTAACTTAAATCAGGAGGATTTAAGGAGAGAAATGGAACAACTTGTGCTTGACAAAAAGGAAGAGGAGACAGCCACCCTGGAAGGTAATAAAACAAAATTTGGGGGGTATTTTCCCCTAGTTTCAAAGTTGATTGCATAAAATGTTACTAGAAAGCCTATTTATAAAAATACTTTATAAATTTTGTATCACAATTGACCCTGGAGGGCCGGCCAAATAGCTCAGCAGATTAAAGTGCCTGCAAACAGGCATAGGGCCAGGGGTCCGATCCTGGGCCTGCCATGCCAGCCCTGCCCCCGGGGCATGCTGAGATGGTGATCAAGACTGGGCGTGGTGGCTCGCACCTGTAATCCCAGCACTTGGGAGGCTGTAACAGGGAGAATCACTATGAGTCTGATGGCCCTTCCCTGAAAAATAAAATTAAAATGAAATAAAATAAAAATTGGCCCTGGGAGCTGGTCATCGTGGCACACGTCTACAATTCCCAGCACTCTGGGAGGCTTGGCAGGAGAATCAAAAGTTTGAGCCTAGGGGCTGGTGAGATGGCTCAGTGGTCTAAAGCACCTACTTAGAACAAGCTTAGCAAAGCACAGGGACCGAGGTTCAATCCCCCAGCACCACATGCCAGCCAGCCCCGCCCCCTGGTGAGCTGAGCTGGCCACACACACACACACACACACACACACACACACACACTAAATCAAGTAAATTTAAAAAAAAAGTTTGAGCCCAGCCTGGGTAATTTAGCAACTTAGTGAAACCCTATTTCAAAATAAAACATAAAAGGACTGGGGGCCCTGGGTCCAATCTCTAGTACTGGGGGAAGTTGATTTCTGGAAGCATTCTGTATCATTTTTCATTAAGACCTGTCCTGAGTACAGAATTGCAAATAAAGCGCATTGAAATCTGCAGGAACAAGGGACAGGTAACTAGTAGAATGCTAGCATCTGTGAAATCTTGGGTGCCAGCCCAGCCCTGCAAAGCCCCCACAAAACTCTCCATTCCCCCTAGAGTGGAGCTCCCAGGAGCAGATCTGAGGGTTCAGGAGTGTACTGGGGCTTAGAACTACACTATGGAATGCCAAAGCGATCGCCCCAGACACCACAGCAGGAATGGGAGCAAGGTGTGCACACCTGCAAGGCAAGCCACTGCCCTGTGTGGCGTAGGCACCCAGGAAGCTTCTGTCCCCACCACTGCATGCCAAAATCTGGCTTCTGGCCAGCGGGGCCTGTTTTCTTCGTCTGGGTGGAAAGCAGGGGTGGCATGAGTTACATCCAGGGAACCGGCTGTGCCCACAGTCATGTAGCCTGCCTTGCGTGCCCACTATCACCTCTGGGGGGACAGAGCTGACCTGGACAGAGGGGAAAAGGGCTCCTGGGGTGGAGGTACCAGTGAGGCAACCTTCACACTCCTGCTGTGTTTACTGGTGACACACTGGTCACAGTCTCTGGGGAGACAGGGCGTGCCAGGCAGAATTCTAAGACATTGGCTGGCTGTTCCAGGGAGTGGTTCTTTATCTGAGTTATAATTCAGACCACTTCCTGTTCTAGTTTCTTGTTTTGAGTACTGGTAATTAAACTAGGGGTTGCTCACTGAGCTGTGCCCCCAGCTGCTTTGCCCCACACCTCCTTTGAGACTTTGTCTACTGAGTTGCTAAGGTTACGCAGGTTGAGCCACAACTTGGAATCCTCCTGCCTCAGCCTCCCAGAATGCTAGGCTTACAAATGCACGCCTCTATGTCAGCTTCATATTCTTTTATGTGTTGTGTACTGTGGCCCCCAACCCCATTGGACTCCCTAGGAGCAGTTATACCTCATCTGCCTCCCCTACAGTACCTTAGGAGCCTAGCACTCAGCAAAGCACCTACCAGTACTAAGCATGTGTGTGATGAGCAGATTCTGACACAGTGCCTTTTCCTTCTTTTTTTAAAAAAAATGCAAGATGGGGATCTAGGAAGTTAGTGCCTCGTTATGGGCAGAGACCATGACACTCCAAGCCAGCCAATATTTATCGGGTGTATACAGTGATAGTTTAGTGGAAGACTCAGAGGTTGATGACTCAACTGGGCTGAGCTGAGCTTATGCTAAGAAGGATCACCTGGGAGTCTTCTAATCTTAGTGATCTTAGTTTTTAGTCTTACTTAAAGAGGCTGGTCCATTCCTAAAGAGTTACTGGGAAATTTCAAAAGGGTGACAGGGGTAATCCCAAGTCTCCATGTATCCCTTAGGGAAGTGTGAAGAAATAGCCACTGTGAGTATCCTCTTTTTGGTCTTCTAATTGTGATAGTTAAAATACATATAAGCTATGTTGGCTGTCATAGCAACAAACACATGCTCAGGAGCTTGTGGGAGGTCCTATCACATCAACTAGTTGTGAACCTCGTGCTCTGTCTCCTTTGGCTGTCTCCATGTCATGGGTTTTGTAGCCCATGTGGATCTCAGTGCTTGTGGTGTCAGGCTTTTCCCCAGGATCATCCTGAAAATGTTTACACTGGAGGGCCAGATGGGAAAAAGCTCCACCATGGGGCTGGGATGTTCTTCTCTCTGTGGGCACCTGTTCTGGGAGGGGAGCCATAAGGTGTTCCCTTGTCCATTAACACAGGAATGCCCTCAACTCATGTTATGAACTGCACTGAGTTATCCCGCTGTCCTATTTGGATGGCCTTCTATAGGACTTGAGCCATAGGCTTGCTCCTGAGAACTGTCCTTTTGCTAATGATGTTCCAATGGAGGGCAGTTACTTTCTGCAACCAGGTTTTACAAATTTAAGGTAAAGATAGCAAGATATAATCGTGCATGTGGGGATAATTATATTCTCCCTTTCTGTATTTGTAATCGCGCCACCAGTCACAGTTGTCTTCTACACTGACCTTTCTAAGGCCCAGCCCTGTCTGACTACCTACGATGTTGCTAAATAACTTAGCTACAACATCTCCCCCTCTGAAGAAGTATCCCTAGCTGCCGTGAGGGGAGAGTGGGTATTGTTCTCATCTAGCTGCTTCAAGCTGAGAAGGGTCAGTGTAGGGATTACTGTAGTCTGGGACCTTCTCCGGAGAGCTAATCTAATGGGCCTCAGATAGACGTCATGCAGAGGTTTAGCAGTTATAAAGTCTCATTACAAGGTTGATCTGGGGAACCCCATAAAGGAGTCTGGCACGTTAGTTGTTGATCCCATCTGCATGATCACTTGGATTTTGGCAGGCTGTAGGCAGGAGTCAACAGATTTTCTGAGAAATTAGAACATTTATAATCAAAGCCTGAGCACTAGGGAGGTTGGGGCAAGAGCCAAGTCTTGAGACCACTTTTTTTTTATATACGTGGTACAAGGTCTCACTATACAGCTCAGACTCATAGTGATCCTCCTGTTTTGAGCCACCACAGCACTGGCATTACAAGTGTGTGCCACAACACCCAGTCTCAGTGGCCAGCTCAGGGCACCTGGGACTGGGGCTGGTGTAGCATGTGGTCCTGGGGATTGAACCCTGGTCCCTGCTCTTGCCTAAACAGGTGCTTAGTCCACTGAGCTATCTTGCCAGCCCTCAAGATTGCCCTTTGGGGACTGGAAGAGTAAATGTAACTTACTGGTTCTAAAACTCCTCTATGGAAAGAGTTTAGCTATAAACCTGTTATTTTTTCATAAGTTTCTTTCCAGTTTTAACTATAAGATGGAGAGTTTGGTGGGTTTAATGGACAAATTTAGCTAAAGAATTTAAAGATTCTTGTTGAGTTTTTATGCATTTTACTGTGTTTTATCTTTAACAGCACATAACAGTGCTCAGCTACTGGTATAACTGGAAACTGCTAGAAAGGGTCAAAAACTTTGCCCCTTTTGATATCTGTTATTACTATAGCATTGTTTTTTTAACCCGCCTCCCTCCCCCCATTACAATTGGCACTGAAACAAACTTCAAGTTTTTCCCTCAAGGCAGTTGATTTAAAACTTAAACACTGTCCCTCTCCATGTTCAAGATAGAAAACATTTTGGCTTTTGCTTCAGAACAAAAAATAAAACCACACACACATACACACAACCCGCTAGGCTTGGTGCTATATGCCTGTAATTCCAGCACTCTAGCATCATTTGTATATATCTTTTGGTTGTGCTTTCCTGCTGGGTGTTTTAAGACCAAGTTAAAGTGTGACGTGTGTTAATTAAAATTAACCCCTAGCTCTCTATCAAAGTCAGTTAAGTCTCCTCAGGATTTATCTTGAAACCATTCACAGAGCCTCTCAGCTCCTCTGTCAGTGATAGCCATCAGGACGAATCATGGCCTTTGCTTGACCAGTTGCTTTCTATGAAAGCATGGGAGACTTTGCACAGTGCCTGTTCTTAAGCCCACTGCTGCAGCAAAATTAAAGCATTTGCTTTTACTTTTGCACTAGCTACTAAGCTTAAGGCTTGTGCATGCACACAGTGCACATGCTTGTACCATGCTAGGCATGGGACCCAGGGCCTGATGCATGCTGAGCACTGTTATATCCCCAGTCTACATTCACTTTCTTTTTTTTTCCTGTATTTTAGGGAAGGGTCTACTTGGTGTTCAGGCTCTCACTACTAGATCGGACTCATAGTGATCTGCCTGTTTACAGCCTCCCAAGAGCTGGGATTACATGCACACGCCACCACGCCCAGTCTCAATCGTCATCTCAGTGTGCCCAGGGAGTGGGGCCAGCAGGGCAGGCCTAGAGAATCGAACCCCCTGCCCCTCCATCTGCTTGCAGGCACTTTAATCTGCTGAGCTATTTGGCCGGCCTGAAATTCACTTTCTGCTTATTTGTTTGTTTTTGTTTTTTGAGTCAGGGTCTCACTGTAATTCTGAAGGGCAGGGGATATACCTCAGTAGAATAAGAGCTTCCCTGGCAAGTGCAAGGGCCTGAGTTCAATCCCCAGTTCTACAAAAAAAAAAAAAACAACAAAACCTCACTGTAATTCTTACTGGCTTGAACTCACTATGTAGCCTAGTGCTTGGATTATGGTTATACACCACCACAATCGGTCACACTGGCGATTTAAAAAGTAAAGCTAAGCCGGCTGTGGTAGCACATGCCTGTAATCCCAGCACTTGAGGCTGAGGCAGGAGCATTGTTGGAAGCTCAAGGCCAGCCTGGAGCTACATAGTGAGTTCAAGACCCATCTGAACTACACAGTGAGACCCTGTCTCAGAAACAAAGATTGAACTGTTTAACAGTGCATTATGAATTCAGAACATAGCTTTCTTGTCCTTCTCTTTTGTTTCTCATAGGGGATTCTGCCGACTGGGAGAAAGAACTGCAACAGGAGCTGCAGGAGTACGAGGTGGTCACAGAGTCGGACAAGCGGGATGAGAACTGGGATAAGGAAATAGAAAAAATGCTTCAGGAAGTAAACTAGTTGCCTACTGCAATAAACAGATAGCCCTTGCCGTTCTGCACGCTCCCACAGAATCTCAGTGTTGACACTCAATCGGAAGGCACAAAAATTCTTTTCCTCAAGCTGAAACTTGCCTCTTCTACTTCAAAAAAAGTACATAGAACAGTTATTCTAATAATCATGAAAGGGGTGTTTGATGTAATATTTTCTTGATATGAATCACATGACAGTTCTTTTAGGCAATATAGATATTTTTGCCACAGAAACATAGGTAAAATTTTTAGAGTTCTGTTTTCCACAAGATCAAACATATCATTCCTTCTTCACTTACAGTTCTGTAAGCATTTGTGTTCCTCGCTATATTATTGTTGATACATGGATGTTAAAGTTCTTACTGAATAATTACCATCAAAATGACCAAATTATACCAAAGAATTTAAGAGGAAACACTGTCAGAACTGTTTTCTTGATAGTTTTTTTTTTCTAAAGTCCCATCTGAAAGCCAGAAGTTAAGATAATGAAGCTGACTGGAGACACCAGGTAGGCATGGTGGTGCCCATCTTTAATCCTAGCACTCAGGAGGCTGAGACAGTAGGATCACCCTGAGTTCAAGACCAACCTGAACTACATAGCAAGACTGTCTCAAAAAACAAACAAAAATGTAGATAAATAAAGTTGATGAGAATGCTACAGTAAGCCCGGTGTAACTGTGGGTGATTCCATGCACACCCAGATGTCACTCCAAGCTGGAGCACTTGCCTGGTGTACTCAAGGCCCTGGGTACAAGTCACAAGAACAAAAGGTTATTGTGTACAAATATTTGTAAAAACTGTTTTCCTCTAGGGTCCTGTGTCTTTCATGTACTCTTTTGTTGCATCACTGGTTTTTAAACTAGACTACAAATGTGACGTGATGGATTTTGTAGCAAGTGGGGCCTTCTGTCTTTTTATATCAGAACCCTGTGTATTCTAAACTGTTCTTGTTTTCATAGTCATAGTCACTATATATGAGCGTTAGAGCTTTGTCTTAATTAAACCACCATCTTTCTAGCTCTGCTCCCCCAGCAGGCACGAGCGAGTTCTTGCCGTTCCGATTGTCTTCAAGAGCACGGTGGTCTCTTGTTACACACTCCCTGAGTCTTTGCCTCCCAAGCCTTTCCTGTTTTTCAGTAGCCTTTATTTCATAAAGGGGAATAAAAGCAAGACATTTCTTCCTAAAAAAAAAAAAAAAGATGTACCTATTTCTAACTCAGGCCCACAAAAAAGTTCATGTCTGCATCCAGCTTCGGGAGAAGTGGGCTGGCCTATGTGACAGCCAGGCCACAGCACGTGGTGACAGTCACTCCGGTGTCAGGATGAGCTCTACTCTGAGATGCCAGCCCACTGCCAGGTTTCCACTTGCAGTGCCACAGTCACTGCTCGCTCTCTGGGTTCAAAGCTATCTGTCCACTGGCGAGGCTGAGGTAGGTGGATCACAGTGCAAGTTCTACCCTAGTTTGAACTACATAGCAAGACACTGTCTAGGAAAAAAAAACATTAAAAGTAAATAAAAGCCTTGGTGGCAGTGTGGTGTCCTGACTGACTTGTTTCTCACAAGAGCAGACAGCATTGGTCAGGAACAGATGGAACCGAAGTCCACTGCTCTTCACAGTTTCACGTGTTATCCTTGTCACCTTGCGAGCAGCCTAACTGCCCATTGCTGTTGGGAGATAAAAGGGTCCAATAGGATTTATAGACTAAGAATACTTCCGGGCTATGCTGTTAGGGACCCAGCATGGAGTGAATCATGATGCTTCAGTACCACAGCATTACCCCTTCCAAGGGCAAAATCACCTGGCGCCCAGCCCAGCTAAGGCCCTGCCGTCACTCTGCCCAGGGGCTAGGGTCAGGCTTAGGAGCCACAGCTCAAAGGGCCAGCTCCACCAAGCAGGGTTCAGGTCTCAGCACCCTGCCCACAGCATGGGCTTGTACCTCGCCGAAGGGACATGGTCTGGGACATTGTGGGTCAGCTGTGAGCACTAGCCAACACTCCCAAGGCCCAAGGCTCCAGCCCTGACACCAAAAATAAAAGACACAATACTGGCAGTGCTGAAGCAGGAGGATCACATGAGTTTGATGCTGGCTTGAACTATAAAGCGAGGCCCTGTCTCAAAAAAAAACCAGAACAGTTGCTGGCCTTGTGTGCCTGCCTCTCAGGCAATGAGGATTCCTGCTGGTTTTCATTTCCTTCTGGACATCCTTGGATGCCACTGTTGCTATTGCTTTTTCTTTTAGTGGTGTTGGGACTTGAACCCAAGGCCTTCACACTGAGCTGCATCCCCAGCCCTTTTTGTTTTGAGACAGGGTCTGGCTGAAGTGTTAAGTTTCCCAAGCTAAGCTCAAATGTGCAATCTTCCTGCCTCATCCTCCCAGAGTGCTGGATTCCAGGCATGTGCTACCATGCCCAGCCAGTGGTGCTTTTCTAGGTACTGGGGTCTCTAAGCTTTCATGGTCATCTCTTGCCAACTCTTCTTTCCACATTGCCAAAATTAAGAGTGCTACATTTCCAGGCTGATGAAAAATCTTCCAAGTTAAATAAGAAATTTGTTTAAGCACTGGGGATCAAACCCAAGGCCTTAACACTACACTGAGCTACATCCTGCCCACACTGCCTTTTTTTTTAATGAGACAGTCACCAAATTGCCAAGCTGGGCCTGGGTTACAAAGTGAGCTCAAGGCCAGCCTGAACTGAATAGTGAGACCCTGTCTCAAAATGCCAAACCTACCCAAGCTGGGCTTGCATTTGTGCAAGCCACCATGTCTGACTTATCTTTGAGCCAGTCTCACCAAGCCGCCAGGGTGGGACTAGAACCTGCAGTCCTCCTCCTCATCCTCTCAGAGCTGGGATGATGGACCTACAGCACAGCCAGCTAAATCGCCTATTTCTAATATCTCATATTTCCCAGGCAACCAAGCACAGTCGAAGCATGCTGTAATGTAACGTGTTACAGGACAGTGACTTCTAGAAACATGAGGTGAAGCTGGCTGAATTTTCTCTGTTTAACTTGAGTAGGGATGGAGGCCGCAGCTCCAAGGCAAGAGCAAAATGGATATTGTGCCTCGAGGAGCTCAGGAAGCTCCAGGAATTGGAAAAATAGCATGGTATAAGCAAGGAGCCAGCCTGCCTCCTTACGGCCCACTTAGTGTTATCCCAAGATGAACAATGTTCCTGTCTGCAGATGTAACAGTTTAGCAAAGATTGTCCTAGAGGGAGGTTGTGCTGGCCTCCCAGAGGACAGGAAACTTAGTGTCACCATGTCTGGCTCTGCAGGGAGACTACCAGGGTGGGAACTCTGCACTGTTAACTTCGAAGACATAAACCTTAGACACAGCAGCCAGGAACCCCCCCAGGGGCTATGAATTGGGCTACTGCCCCCACCCTGTAATATGTACTACCCATGGCATATGCCTGTAATCCCAGCCCTCATGAGGATGAGCAGGAGGATCCTGAGTCCAAACCCATAGAGTTTGAGGGTGCTCCACACTGTCTCATGAAGACTTCCTGTGCAGTGAGAGTCATGTGAGAACTGAGCTTAAACTGTGTGTCTCTGTCTTAGAATCTGTTACACAGGAGGCAGGGGCACATGGAGTGAGGGATTGAGACACCACCTGGAATTTAGTGAAATCCTGGCTCAAAACAGCATTATAAGAGGCTGCAGATGTAGCTCAGTGGTAGAACACCGCTGGCCTCAAGCCCTGGTAATGCATCTATCAAAGAAATGTGGCGCCACACTACTGTATTAGAGCCACTAACACAATTTGCATCAAGTGTTCATGGTCAGTTGAATTAAGAGTAGATGCTTTTAGAATTAAGTCTTGAAAACAGGCACTATGCAGCAGCAATATGTCTGTCCAACTTGTGGACTAAGACTTATAGATAGTTGCAAACAAGAAATCCTTAAAAAAAGAAATTCTCTTGGGCCAGGGGTATGGCTCAGTGGTACAGTGCCTGCCTCGTAAGCTCAAGGTCCAGAGTTCAATCCCCAGTGGAGAGAGAGAGATAGGCAGAGAGAGAGAGAGAGAGAGAGAGAGAGAGAGAGAGAGAGAGAGAGAGAGAAAAGGAGAAGAGAGAGCTGTTAGGACCTAAGGACCTACCACGTTGAAGGCTTTGCTCTTCATGGGAAAGGCAATGGACAATCTTTGGAGAGTTTTAATCAAAGGTGGGGGCAGAGGGTATCAAGCTTCAGAAGGTTCAGTCTGGCTTCTTGGATGAGATACTTGAAGGGGACACAGTCAAGAAGCTACTGTAATAATGGCAGGGACAGTTCATGGTGACTTGAGGCAGTGTGGATGAAGTGACAAGGTTGAAGGTTAGTGGTCAGAGGAAGGCCATAGGCTGGGGAAGGTCAGAGCTGGAAGCTGCCCCAGCCCTGCAGCCCTTGCCCTGGAGAGCCTGGGACATTTTAGCCTACTTTTTCTTCAGGGAACCTAGGGCAGGGCCAGGGCAGGTGGCTGTTCTGCTTCCCCAGAATGGGTGCAGGGACTTACATGGATAGGATCAGGGACACTCAGAGCTACTGGCCTTGACCCTGTGGCTTCTTTACTGCAGTTTCTGCTACCAGTGCCAAAGCCAGGTGCCACCACGTAGTGGGCATTGCTCCGCCTGTCGTGTCTGCATCCTGCGTCGGGACCATCACTGCCACCTCTTGGGCCGCTGCGTGGGCTTCCGCAACTACCGGCACTTCCTGTGCCTACTGCTCCACGCCTCTGGTGTCCTGCTTCATGTCTCTGTGTTGCTGGGTCCTGCCCTGGCATCCCTGCTGCGGACCCATGCGCCCCTCCACA